TCAGATACATTAAGGAAGTTGCAAAGCAGGGGTTGCCCATCTCAGATCTAACATTGCTCTGTGACTCAAGCATCACACACACACACACACACACACACACTCCATTCCTGAGAACATATGGTCAGAATGACACAGGCCCAGGTGGGTCTCCCCTCCCCCACTCCACTTCTGTGCTTAGGGCCTATGGAACACAGGCAAGTCAATTTCAAAACAACCTCAAGAAAAAATAAATTAGGACGATTAAACTAATCTGTAAGACAATTCCCAATAGGAATGGCTTTTTTTTAGTTATCCTCTCCTCTGGACTCTCCATGCTGACACACACCCAATTTCTACCAAGAGAGGCTGGTATGCTGTGGTTTGCATACACACACACACACACACACACACACACACACGCACACGTACATATCCTACCAGAAGCCGATAGCAGGGCCAGCCCAACTTCCGCTTAACCAACATCCACAGTGTGCTCAGCCCCTTGGCTGTGAACAGTTTACCTTGCAAAACACCCCGGGAAGATGCAGTCACAAAATGAAAGGAGCAATCACACCTCAAGTGGAAGTTTATGATGCTTTGGTTCACCATGAACATTAGTCTCTCCCACTAATGTCAGGCAGTAATTTACTGCCAAACAGCAGCCATAAAATATGATCACTTAGTGGTAGGAAAGCAAAAAGCAGAGAAAAAGGAAGGGGTGGGTTCCGGCCGAGATACTTAAGCAAAGAGATCTTGTCCTTCAGAGGCGACACTGACCTACCCACCCCAACTTGGGTCCAAGGTTTCCAGATTTATCCAGACAACCTAAAGCACATTGGGATGGTGTTTGCCTTAAGATTTTTACCTGTCACTGGCATTTTAACAGTCTGTTGGGTTATTTCCAAGTTCCCGGGCACCTCCTGATGACTGTAGCATTCATATGCCATGTTTCTTAACAGCACATGCCTTTAACACACACCATGGGAAAGGCTGCCAATACCAGCCGTAACACACACACATCCGAAAACATAAAAGACATCCAAATTGGCACTCTCCTCACCTCCTTTCCCCCTGCCTTATGTGATGTGTGCACTAAAGGAGTGAAATTATGGTCATTGGAGGCAAGGTTGCAAATGCTGGGGACCCACAGCTTTCAAACAACACAAACAGTCAGTAATTTTGAGGACAGCCCATGGCTAGCTACAGTCTAGCTCCTGGACCCCGGAAACCCACAGCAAACTCCCTACCTCTCAGCAAACCCCCAAGCACCCTTCGCCCACCCTCCCTACCTTGAGTCCCTTGTCATATTGCAAAGAACTCTGCAAGGCCCTTATACACACAGGAGATTATTACGGGGCTCAGAGAAGCCAGCTCTGTAATCACAGCTACAGTATGATTTCCATTCTTCTCACTTTGGGCAGCTCACAAACCTTCCCGCAGAATCCTGCAGCCCCGGAGCTTTCCGTGGCTGGGCCTCTGCCCAGAGGTGACTGCGGTCCTGATAACCTCTGGGAAAAGCAAGGCAGAGCGATTATGAGGAAAGGGGAGTGGTGCGCAGCGAGCAAGGGTGGTGAGAAATTCTATTGTTTAGGAAAAATAAATAAACTGGCCAGTTTTGCTTTTTATTATTTCAAACAACAGACTCGGCGGGCCAGCCTTCCTTTCCCAACTCAGCCTTGTCCCCGTGGGCGGGCTGCTGAGTCGGCAGCAGCAGGAGCTGGGCTCCAGCAAAACTGTTAGAGTGGCTGCCCCTCTGAGCCCTTGGAGCAAAAGGGTGGGTGGTTCTGATGGCCAGGCCTCCCCCGGAGGGCTGCTGGCTCATCACCCCCCCACCTGCCCCCCCATGAACCTCTGCTCTTACCTCTCAAATGTTTATGCTTCACCAGTCCCACCACTGCTCTGGAAATTAAATGTAATATCCCAGGTGGCTGAAACGGAACTGTTCTTACACAAACCCCTCCCCAAATAAAAAATGGGAAATGCCAGCCCACAGTTTATAAAGCCTGCTGGTCAGGTGTTGCCTGTCATTGCTGGTCTGGCTGACATCTGGGGACACATCAAGGCCAGGCTCTCCCACAGCCTGCCCCCTGAGGGTGGTCTCTGTGCACTTTGCTCCCCCAGGTTCAGGGGGTGTCCTCATTCCATGGTCATGAAGATGTGCTCCACACTGACACCCCCACCAGGATACAGGCTCCCACGAGAGAGAGCCAGCCCCCATCAGCCCCAGCCCCTCCCCCTCTGACCTACATGACACACCTGCAAGCTGGCTGTGCTGGGTTTATGATGCAGCCATGGCCAGGAATCATGCCCGCCCCCGCCTCCGCCCCACCCCAAGGGAATAGAACTGCCTGTTCTGTTATGTGCACTGAACTCTCAACGTTTATTTCACTGACACTATATTCCAAGCTGCTCAGACAATAGCAAAAATAATCCTTCTACAGGGTCTGCTTGATCTTGCCAGCAAGTCAGTGATCCTCTGGCACCTGGTAGGAAATTTGGGGTATGGGAATCTTTGAGTGTCTTAGAGTAAGTTACTTCTCCATTACACTGAGATTGGGCTCAGTAGAGAAAAGAGCTGCAGCACCCCAAATTGCCTTGCTTCTTTATTCTCAATACCGCTTATTCAGCCATTGAGAGGCAAAGCAGGCCAAATGTATGAATTCACCGTTTAAACTGTAAATTCACTTTTCCAGCAAACCGAACTCATTGAGTCATGGTGCAGAATGCAGTCGTCGGAGCAGCCAAAGGAAATGTCCTCAAAGTCCAGTGGTCTGAAGGTCGTGCACGCACCTTCTTGGTTTATTCAGAGGCCGAGTAGACACAATTCCAGGAAGTTTGGGGATCTGCCTTCCTAGACCACTGAAAGCTGGAAGCCGCAGGTGGAGGAGGAGGAAAGGCACTGGAGTCGACCAGGACTCCTGACAGCGGGCGGAAGTGACGAGTGACAGCACAGAGTAGAGGGAAAACCCAGAAGGCTGCAACGGACACAGGAGTTGTGCAGCGACAACACACCTACGCCTTGCAGCATCGTCTCTGGGCGTCCATGGCATTCAGCTCAATACATGAGTAATCAACAACCAAAAGGCCAATGCAGCAAGAAAACATTCATTTGTGTTTAATCAACTCTTCACAGAAAGGCAGGGAACGACAAAATATAATTCTTAAAGCTATATAGACGATGGTTAAATTATCTGTTAATTTGACACTTGCTATGTGTTAGGTCTTGAGAGGCAATGTGAGATGCGTGGTGCTTTGCCTGCGTCCTCCTTGCAGCGCACATAGCGTTTCACCAACACTGTTTTCCCTTCCAGATATGACCCACTAACTACTGTACACTCATCCCCCAGCTCACACACACCCTGCTCCCCGCCTCTCACCTCCGCACTCTCACAGCCCAGACCCACTGCCTGTTCCACAGGGCTGTACCATTTAAAGAAAGAAATAATTGCTGAAAAGGGCTGCGACACAGTAGGATGGAAGAGTGAGCACAGCCTTCTAGATGTGCAGGGAACGTCTCCCCTTGACCATCTTGAGCAAATGCCTGGAAATACAGGAACAAGAAGGTAGGGATCAAGGCTCCCTCAGATCAGCTAGTGCTGGCTTTATCTGTCTGAATCACACAATGTCCAGCACATTCCAATGGAAATCAAAATAAGACCAGCAGGAGTTCCACATGGCATCACCAATATTTCCCTGGGACAAGACTGAAGTCTGATTATCAGCCAACACAAAACAGGACCTCCTGCCTACAGTCTTAGAAAGCCTTGTAGTCCAAGCAAGGAGGGCACCCTAGGGAGCCAGCTCCAACTCACTGAGGTAAGAAGCCTGAGCAGAGCTGGATGAGGGACTAGTCCTGGACGGGCAGATGCCCCAGCACTGCTGATGGGCCAGCCTCAGCAGGTGCTCCTGAAGCCAGCAGGTCTCTGAAGAATGAGGAGGAAAGCTCGTGTCCCCAGATCACACCACTCTACTCCACCTTAAGCAATTGCAAGGTGCACCACAACATCCTACATTTCCTTGCCCCACAATTTGGCTCTTAGCCCCAATAGCAATTGCAATAGGTCCTGCACTTTCCTCCATTTCTCTGAATGGATTCCAGATGGAAGTGTAAGCCAGAAGGGCTGAAGCAAGAGGAACAGGCACCTCCCTTACCTCTGTGCACCTTCCCAACCAACCAGGCCTATTATGCTCTTGTCTAAGGCACAAACCCAAATTAAAGAGAGCACACACCAGTTAGGATGGCCTAGTGAGGCTGGGGTGGGAAGAGGTGAATGAATACTCTCCCAGTGTGACTGATTCCCACAACAACCATAGTACAAAGGCAGAGAAGAGACGAGATGATCATTCATAACCTCAACAGCAACATATCTCCGTAACTCCAACCTGCACTGCTCACCCACCAGGCCCAAGATGGCAAAAGAGCATGAGATAACATCTGCCCCAGCGGGGACAGACTGTCTTCACAATAACTGAAATGAGTGCACCTTGTTCCTACCTTTTTCAGCTTGCCACTTTTGGTGCCCACGAAGGCCAGGGAGTGGTTCTTGTAGACATACGCAATGACAGAAGTCATGCGGTCTCTGTCCTCCGTGAAGACAGGGATGCCACGGACCATCTCGGACACGCCCAGGGGTGCATTCATATCCAGGCCACAGAAGTTATCATCAATAGTTAAGAGCTGAAAATTAAAAAGGAGAAAAATTAGGGGGGGGAGCATTGGGGTGATTTGCAGAGGTATTGAGTCAGGGAACTATAGAGCTAGAAGAATCCATAGATATGGTATAAATCCCTATTTTTTACATGAAACACTCAGTCCAGAAGAAACTAGATGACGTGTCAACAGTTATCTAAGTAGGTTTCAGGACCATGGCAAAAAAACAAACACACACACACACACACACACACACACACACACAAATTCTTAGAGTCTCTTTTCACCACACTCCCATGGTCTCTCCACCCCACCTGCAATCACTCCAGGCGCCATCTCAGTAGCTTAGGTTGCCTTTTGCCACCATCACATCAGAAAGCACTGGGCCAGCACCCATGAGCATGGGCTCCAGACAGCTGGTTCAGGCATCAGGAGGATGTGGTCTCCACTTCTACACACCTGCTGTTAAAGAGTCCCCACAGATGAGGACTCACAAGTGTAGAATGGAGAATTAGGAACATCAATGCATGAATGGCAAGGCTATGACAAAGACATGTACAGACCGTAGGTTCAGGAAAGGGGAAATGGGAGGAATGGAAGGTTTGTGAATGAACTCAACAAGCCACTGTAGAGCCTCACGCTGACCAATCTCAGTCTCCCTGTTTCTTTCAGAGCCCTGGCCTTGTCATCCCTACACCAGCATTTCCCAAAGTATCTTCAGTGGAACCCAAACCCCCAAGATGTTCTATCACAAAAGGGTTCCTTGGGCACATAATTTTGAGAAACAGTACATTCTAACACCACGTCAGGCATTCACAATGATTAGTTACAGGAAAGGTATGAAGTATTTTTAAGAAGAAATATGTTTAATATTCTCTAACCCTTTCCCGAACAGTTTATTCCCTAAACCATGTTAGACCGGAACCCCTATTAGCATTCCTTAAAGAGAATATTCCCTGGATATCCCATGGCACACACTGACCCAACTCTTGCTCCTGACTCCAGGGCAATTTCAGGACTCAGGGAACCAACAGAAAAGGCTTCGGGCTGGTTTCCTTCCCAGTGTTTCAGCTGCATTCTCCCTGTTTTATTCCAGGCCTCCAGGTCCCCACGCAAGCAGAGGGTCCCAGCTGGGATCGGACTTACTGGAGAGTGTGAGGACTGACTACGGCTGGTGAGGAGGCCTCTGCACCCCAGCAAGCAGCTTTGGTTTGGCATAGACTCCCCTGGGCGCTAGGAGCCTACGCTGGATTTTCCCCTTTCTGGGGAGAACTGTGTGGTCTTAGAAGAGTTTTTCCATATTCTGTTCTTTTATTTTCCGCTCTATAAAGATAGAAGAAACAACCCCTGCTTTTTGATGGGCTTCCATAAAGCCTATAGAGCTCATGCCTGTAAATGTTTTTGGACTTTTCAGAAAAAGGAATAAAATAAAATACAAGGTGTCACTTTTTTAAAGGCCTCAGTCCAGCCAGAGGAGAGGCATCTGGAGAACTGGCAGGCAGGCTCTTGCCAGGAGCTGTGTGACCCTGGCCAACTCTGAGCTGTTCAGGGCTGCGGGGCCCTCGGCTCCCTCCCAGAAGAAGGGGGACAGGCATTGTCCATCTTGGGGAAGACAACGTGCTTCATCTCAATGCTCTCTCTGCCATCTCCCCTTCTTCTTATCGTGGTGGGGGAGGGGGGGCAGTCAGACCAGGGAGGGTGAGCCTGGGCCGGCCCGGCAGGCTCTGTGCATTGCAGGCGTCCGCCCCACGCCTCGGACCACCTGTGTCTCTCTTGCATGGTCTGGTCCAATAACCCCAAACCAAACACAACCTCCCTCCAGCGCCAAAAAATAACAACAATTATAGGAATCAAAGTTAGGAGCGAGTTTTCAAGGTCTAGTCCAGGGGTGGGCAAACTTTTTGACTCGAGGGCCACAATGGGTTCTTAAACTGGACTGGAGGGCCGGAACAAAAGCATGGAAGGAGTGTTTGTGTGAACTAATATAAATTCAAAGTAAACATCATTACATAAAAGGGTACGGTCTTTTTTTTTTTTTTTTTAGTTTTATTCATTTCAAACGGGCCGATCCGGCCTGCAGGCCGTAGTTTGCCCACGGCTGGTCTAGTCTGATCTTTCTGGTTCTTCACTGAAATGAGGAAATGGGGAGCAAGAAAGTGGTAGAGAGTGAAAGGGATGGGCAGAAAAGAGGAAGAAAAACCTGGGCCAAGGGAAGACAATGTCCTCTCCCTGTTGGATCATTGCAGTGATCTGCCTGGCGTTGCAAGGGCAGCCGAGGGCGTGCTAGGAACCCTCATGGCCTTGTGTGCTACTGTTCATGAAGAAGACTTTTCCCCAACTTTCTCAACCCTAAACTGGGCAGCAGGGACCTCTGGCATCAGCAAATGTGCCTTGCCCATCATGACCCATCTTCTAAATAGATGAGGCTGGATGACTAGTTGCCCTGCACAGGGGGAAACCGAGTCAGGGAGCAAAGCAGCCCATGTTTCCCAGTCTCCCACCACCCCTGGCACAAACATGTACCTCATTGGCCCAGGATTGCATTTCTGAATGGTTGGTTACTGAAAACCATTCTTCCCCCTGGCTGGGCAGGACATAATCAAATAAATAAAAAACCACCTACAAGGAGACAGTATGCATTTGAGCACCTGCATTATTGAATCATTGGCTGCTCAGAGGCAGGAAGTCAGGGACCTGTGAGCTCCTGCTGCGGTGGCACCGGGCACGGCAAGGAGCTGGGAGAGGGATGTTTTCATCAGAAGGAAGTGAGGACAGCTCAGCCAGTCAGCCTGGCAGCCTGGGCTCTGCCGTCTTCAGTTCCTAACACCTCCCTTCGAGGCCCGCCAGGAGCCAGGTCTCAGTCTCCTCACCTACAGCAGACAGTCATCTCCTCCCAACTGCCTACCTCCCGGTGTCATCACCAAGTTCTAAAGACTGCAGCTGGGGCTCCTAACATGGGGATTGCATTCCAGGGACAATGGTGGCTTTCTCCCCAGGCTCCCCTATGCCAGGCAATAAAAAGGTGATTGGGGCCTTTGACAGGCGCAGCCCAGATCTGCGTGGCTGCTGAGGTCCCTCAGCTGTGGCATGAGGTGATCTTACTGTTTCCTCAAAGCTGTGGCAGTGGGGAGGGAGTTTTAGAACTGAAGTAGTGGAAAGCACATAGGTCTCGGGTTCCATAGCAGCTCAGCAGCTTCTCAACTAGCCAGCTTGGCATCGGCCTCTCCTGTTCTCTGATTCTCATTTTCCTTGCCTATAAAATTGCAAGACAAGATTGTTGTGAGGTCTAGGTGAGATAACAGGTGTGAAGGCACCTGATAAACAGGAAAGCATGCCATCAATGCAAGCTGGTATTTCACATCAATTTTTTCAATGGAAATCCTGCCTGGAACAGGGGTCTCATGGCAGCTGGAAATGGTCCTCGTGTGCCTCCTGACTGGAGCACGGCTCTCCATGGACACAACCCGCCAGGTCTGAGCTACAGCTGCAGGAAAATGACAGCACTGGGAGGAGAAGGCAGAGGGTCCCATGGGCCCACAAACTCAAGGAGGCCAAGGTATAGGGAGCAGAGACCAGGACATGTGGGCCCTAGAAGGGAAGGCTAATTGGAGAAAGCTTCCACAGGTGAGGGCTGGCATGGATTCCTGAGCACCCTGGGCAAGCAGGGAGGATAGTGTCTGCTCCAGCCCTGGCTGAGCTCTCCCCTGGGCCCTATTAACAGCAAGATTAGAGCAGCGGCTAGAGGAGCCAGGAAGGGACTCACCTCGGCTATAATCAGGAGCCCAGCCTCGCCTGCAGGCCCACATCGCACCCGTTCCTCCCACCACACCACAAATACCCATGAGTGAGCTGTGGCCACTGTTATAATGACTGTTTATTAGAGAGAAACTTCATTCTTACAAAGGAAAAAAACAGGGTCTGTTTCATGGGAATATATGTGGTACCTACTTGGGCAACCCTGTGAAGAGATATTGAAGTGTTAGGGCCACACCCTCCAGGGCCCCTCTACTCCAATCAGGAGGATACCAAATCTGCTTTCCACAAATATCCTCATGGGATACATGGGTCGTAAATTAAGACTGGTGACCCACTGGATTCCAGGGTCCATGTGCACAAGGACGGTACCATGTTTTATGTATCTTTGCACCCTTAGCTTAGCTGCAAGTTCATAGTAGGTTAAAACATATGTGTTAAATGAATGGATGGATACATGGATGGATAGATGACTAAATAAAAGCCTGACTTTCGCCCTAACCAGTTTGGCTCAGTGGATAAAGCATCAGCCTGCGGACTGAAGGGTCCCGGGTTCGATTCCGGTCAAGGGCATGTACCTTGGTTGTGGGCACATCCCCAGTAGGGTGTGTGTAGGAGGCAGCTGATCGATGTTTCTCTCTCATCGATGTTTCTAACTCTCTATCCCTCTCCCTTCCTCTCTGTAAAAAATCAATAAAATATATTTTTTTAAAAAAGCCTGACTTTCACAATGGCTAACACTTTGGAATTAGAACCAAAATGCTTAGGTTTGAATCCCAGTTCTAATACTTAATGCTGTGTGACCTTGGGCAACTTATTTAAGCCCTCTGTGCCTCAGTTTCTCATGGGTAGAATGGGATAGTAATACCAGTATATACTGCTGTGAGGAGTAAATGGTTTAGTACATGTAGGACAATGTCTGGCATTTCATAAGGGCTATGGGAGCGTTCACACTTACTACTGTTTGTCATAGACAATTCAGACAACCTTGACGAGTTGGCGTCTGGGGAAATTCATCACATCTACCTCAGAGAGGTGTTATCAAGATGAAAGGAGCTAATGTTATCAAGATGAAATAGCAAAGGTGGAACTTCCTAAAGATCTATCAGATCAATGAGGTTGAAGGAAAGAGCAGAGGAATGGTCTAAGATCCAGAAGATTTAGCACTATTCATTAGAAATGAAAATTCTTGGGCCCCACTCAGACCTACTGGATCAGAAACACTGGGGTGGGGCTCAGAGATCTGCATCCTAACACCCTCCCAAGTGATTCTG